TCAGATCTGATCATTTTTTCCCGGGCAATTTTAAGAGCTTATTTATGGAATTAGCGGAAAGTTGCAGGGATGGCCTTTAGGGTCAACAGTTTTCCAGATTTTTTTAATTATTTTCTTGATTCCAGATTTTTTTTTTTGTTAAATCAGTTTAATTATTTTACGAATATATAGGTTGAAACTTTCAAAAACTAAAATGATGTCATTTACTAATAACATTACCTCATTTTTTATTTTGTAAATAATTTTAATTTTATATTTTTCAAGACTTTTACTTACATGTAATAAAGTAGGTAAAATAAAATCTGAGACAGTTTTAGAACACGTCTTACATAGCATTTACGCTAATAGTAAGTATATTATAACTTAATAGATACTTATTCTATTGTATCATAATTCGTAATACTGATAAATAAGAAGCAGATGTCTTGATGACATCCATATATGATCTTCGAGTCATATAAAAAAATTTACCACATGTCAGATATAGTGGTAAATTGATGCGCATCATTATAAAAACTAGGTTTTTAGTAACATGTGGTGGCATATCATACCAATTACTGCTGTAGATAGCTCTAAGCATTGATTCTGCACGATTTGCTAAATTATCAGCTGGATAAGTATATAAGTAGCTTTCAAACAGCATGAAATTCATTATACATATAGATTTTATAAAATTTACCATATTCTTGTCATTTACACTTATGATTAAGCTGACACCTACGGGTAAAGAAAAAACTATTTATCAATTTTATATACATATGTTCTCAACTGATTAATTATAATGTGTTATTAGAAGACTTTTTTTTTTAGAAAAATCGTGTTATTTTAACTCAGGTTTTGAAATATAATGCAATTTGTTAAGTTTTAAAGTGAAAAAATTAAAAACCTCAACTGATTTAAAATAAAAAAATTATATAATTTTTGAGGTTTATCAAAATAAAGGCTCCAAATATTGACCAGACAGCATAACAACTTAATTCAAAACAATCTAGTTATTTAATTGTAGGAGGGGGGGGGGGGCCAAATGGGGCACTTCACAAGGAAATCTTAATTTATTGGGGGCTAAAATACGCTAAATCTATTTTTTTTTAAGTTGTTTTCGAAATAAATAACACAAATTTTTGGTGATCGCCAATTTTTTAGGGGTAAAATGAGGTACCCTTTGAAAAAGTAAAAAAAAAAAAGTTTCTCCCAAAATAAAACATCTTTTAAAAAATAACATTTTCTTATCGATAAGTCTATGAAAGAACCCAGACAAGTGAACGAATCACCCAAAGAAGAAGCATTGTTAGTTGAAGCGAAATACTCCTATCAAAAATTAAGGTAGCAAAAAATTTTTAAAACTTTGCAGTAACTTTTGACGGCTGCCACTTGAGTAAAAATTAATATCAAGATAAAAAAAAAGAGTTCTTTTGACTAGATGCTAGTTTTTG